TAATAAATATACGGGACTATACCATAATACGTATACGGGACTATACTGTAATACATATACGGGGCTATACCGTAATAAATATACAAGACTATACCATAATACGTATACGGGACTATACTGTAATACGTATATGGGACAATACCGTAATAAATATACGGGACTGTACCGTAATACGTAAAAAGGACTATACTGTAATGCATATAGAGGACTATACTGTAATACATATACAGGACTATACCATAATACCTATACAGGACTATACTGTAATACATATACGGGACTATACCATAATACCTATACAGGACTATACTGTAATACGTATACGGGACAATACCGTAATAAATATACGGGACTATACCATAATATGTATACGGGACTGTACCGCAATACGTATACAGGAATATATAGCAATACGTATACAGGACTATATCGTAATACGTATACAGGACTGTACTGTAATACGTATACAGGACTATATCGTAATATGTATACGGGACTGTACTGTAATGAGCATGCATTAGGATGTACCGTAATACGTATACAGGACCATATCGTTATACGTCCGCCTTTCGACGGGTGTATAAAAATCCATCATGTTCCTATGAGATGAAATAGTCCTTTTTAAGACTTTCATTTAAATTTGTCCAATTACTATAAAATAAATATTCAAGCTTTGCCTTCAGGACACTGAACAGCAACCTAAATGTTCCATACAATCTTTTATTGTGTGGTAGAGCTGTTCAACTGGATGACTGTATGGGAGATGATTTCTAATTTAGAGAAGATTACCACTAAATTAAGACTGAATCCAGGACAGAATAAATAAAAGTCGGGTCTTCTGAAGCACATTGATGCTCACATTGAAGCTGTGGGTGGGTGAAGGTCATAATGTGTCACTGTAAAAATAGACTGCTGATCCTGGTAAACCAAGGTGGTCAGGAGGCAGATCCATGTTGGACATTGTTGTTTAGGTAGAGTACAAGTGTCCTCCTCGGGCTGAGATGTGTGTTCAGGGTGGTATTCTGTCTAAGAATAGAAACGTATTTGCCAGTCCTGAAGAACAAACCACTGATCATCCCAGGACAAAGTGATGCTCTTCACGGACTGTTCATCTTCGTTCTGTCCTCCTGAATGCCATCAACTCAACACGTTGTGATCTTGACATTTGTGCGGTTTCAGTCGAGCTTAGCACATCGTCAGCTCCTCAGCTGGTGCCTCGTCGCAGCATGCGCCACGCTCAAAGGTCGCGTACTTGAACCCAGAGACGTGCAGGCCGAGGAGGGCGTTTGAAAGTGTCTAATGGTCAAATGTGTTCTCTCTCCTTCCCCCACCTCCTTCCTGAACCCACAGATTCAACGACTTCTTCTCGCTCAGCTACCTATCCAACCCACCAAAATATAACCCCCCACCATCACCACCGCCATGGAGCGCGTTCAGCACATGACCAAGTCAGCCATCCGCCGGGCCTCCCAGATCGAAGTGAACCCCCAGGCCAAGAGGAACCTGCAGGAGCTCTTCGTCAACTTCACCCTCATCCTCATCTGCCTGCTCCTCATCTACATCATCGTCCTGCTGAGCAGCTGAGGGCGCAACGGGTTGACTCTCCCCAGTGTGGCCCCCCCCACAACCCCGCTGGTGTGCCGTGCGGATGTCTGCTGTGTAATTTAACCCAAGATGTACGAGTTCTTCACAGATCAGGGTTTTCAAAAACCAAACGCAACACCCAAACCTGCAGAGGTGGAACCACTCTGACATGATAATGATAGAAACAAAATATGAGCCGGTAAAAAAGGTCAATATGACCCTTTGAAGGATCTTCATGACCCAAGATGGGCTTTCCCTCATATTTTTCACATTTTCTCTCATCAAAGCATGATTTACCCCCTGCTCTGACCAGATCTAACTTAGGAGTAGATAAAGACAACACCTGCTAGATGCAAAGAAAATGTCTTTGGTGGTGATTATCTGGACATTTTCAGGGTTACTCTGGCGCCCCCCAGTGGTTGATTCATAAAAACACAAAGACGTGGATGCACAGTAATGTAACCCTGCTGCTGCCATTGGGTCAAGATGACCCTTCAGGCAAACAGTGGTTCCCAAAGTTGTGTTCTGGACCATGAGTGGGTCATGAAACACCAATCATGTCACGAGAGGCCGATTTATTTTTAGCCTTAAACGTTCTAAAAAAAAAAAACTGGTTGTAGATCCATAATGGTCATAAATCAATAAAACAATATTTTAGCCAATGTGCTGCTTTGTTAATGTTCTTTAGCCGGCAGCAGACCGGGTCACGAGGACCTGAGACTTTTATTGTGTGGCTCAAAATCAACTCCGGGGTGGACGGGCATAAATCGAGTTTATGGATTAAAACAAATCTGACGGTTAGCAGCTGAACTTTTCCTCCGTCTGTTTAAACTTATTCGTGGAGCAGAAACACATTTGGTCAAGAAAACAAAGTTAAGGCCACCATTCATCAAAGTATTATTTCAGGAGGTCGTTGAAACAAGTCGCCACTCTGTCAGGTCAAAGGTCAAAACTCAGACATAACCGTTTGTCTCTACGTGTATATTTGGACGATTGTACCGACTTTATTCACATTTCACACATTAAAGAAACTTCCTGTAAATACAGAAAAACTGCGACTATGATTATTGATTATTTGTTTACATGTTGATTCCTGAAACTTTTGTCCCTTTGAGAGACATGTCGGGACATTTAGGGACAGAAAGGACATGTAGTGACAGTAGGAACGTGAGGAAAGATGGGACATATGTGACATATGGGGACAGAAGGGACATGTGACAAAAGATAGGACATATGGGGACACATGTGACATATGGAGACAGAAGGGGCATGTGAGGAAAGATGGGACATATGGGGACATATGTGACATATGTGGACATGTGAGGAAAGATGGGACATATGGGGACATATGTGACATATGGGGACATGTGAGGAAAGATGGGACATACGGGGACATATGTGACATATGGGGACATGTGAGGAAAGATGGGACATATGGGGACATATGTGACAGAAGGGGCATGTGAGGAAAGGTGCGACATATGGGGACAGTTGAGACATTTTAGGAAAGATGGGACAGATGGGACATGTGACATATAGGGACAGAAAGGACAAGTGAGGAAAGGTGGGACACGTGGGGACATTTGGAACATTAAACACAGATGGACAAGTGAGACAGATGGGACATATGTGACATATGAGGACAGAAGAGACATGTGAGGAAATATGTGACATACGGGTGTAGTGAACCAGATGACCTCAAATATACCAGATGGACAGAGACTGTTATTTTCATTGATCTGAATAAGTCTGAACCATCTGATGAACTTTCTTTCTTGAATTAATCAAGCAGAAAAGACAATCCTCTATAATCATTACTGTCTTACAAATGTTTTGATAATCAAATTGTGTTAGTTCACTCAATGCTTTACAGGTTGAAAAGAACTACTAATTTTTATTTTACATAAACAGTAAGTAATGATTTTTGTTCCTCATTCAGAGAAGAAATCACCTGAATATGCCTTTCTTGATTTTCTGTCTGAAATGAGCAAGCTGTCGTAAGTATGTTAAAGGTTGGTTTTCGGTCAACTAAAATGTTTACCGAGAAAAATGTCATGTTTTACTATTTGAAAAGATTACAAAGTGTGAGACTCCACGAAGTCTGCTGTTGCTGCAATAATCTTTTCTGTATGTTGTAAACAATCCTTGACTTATGATAACATCTTACGTCACAAATCCACTCCTCTTTCTGGTCCTTCCACGAATCAGAAAGCTCTAAATTGAACAGGAAGTCGACCCAAATAAAATGTGGCAACTTCTCAGTTCATAGATATAGAGAAGAGAAGAATTCGAGAATTCCAGAATTCCAAGAGAATGAGAGTTCTGAGAGATGTTGGAATGAGAGCTGACAACAGGTCCGATAGTCCAACAGAATGAGCAGATTGAGAGTGCAGCCGGTTATGAAGAGTTTGGAGTTATGAAGAACCAGGGACGTTTGGGATTATACTTCTGTTTGAACTAACCACGCACGACTCTCCGAGGATTTCTAGCTGTTCTGAACGGAGGCGCTGAAACAGTCTGAAGGACTCTTACTGAGCTGATCTATCGTCAAACCAGGTAAAGATTTCCTCTTCGACTCAAGTGTACCGTGGACGGGCTGAGGATCTGACGAAGCGTGCAATTTCTGGTTAAACAGATTAAACTTCCCTCACACAGTTCTCTGTAAGATAATCTCCTTTCACTCTAAAACCCACCTCTCTCTCATAAATCAGTACAGATATTTTAGAAATATCTTAAGCAAAGTCCTCGAATCACCGCCGAGTGATTTGAAGTTCATTTTCTGTGAAACTGTCTGTTATTATTTTCATATTTTGCCAAATTAATGTAAATGTTTGATGTTAAACTTTGATTCTGAAAATAAATTATTCCATTCATTTGATGGGTCAAAGATAAATAACGTCTCTCGTTACATTTCTGTTAAATTCAATGCACGACATTTACAGTCAGAAAAATGAAGAACTCGTGAATATCGTATGCATATATAATTCATATATTTGTCATACAACAAGTGACACGTACCTCACGTGACTCACTACACGGGGACATATGTGACAGAAGGGACATGTGAGGGAAGGAGGGACATGTGGGGACAGTTGGGACATTTTAGGAAAGATGGGACAGTTGGGACAAGTGAGACAGATGGGGCATATGTGACATATGGGGACAGAAAGGACATGTGAGGAAAGGTGGGACATGTGGGGACAGTTGGAACATTAAAGACAGATGGGACATGTGAGGAAATATAGAAAATATGGGGATAGGTGGGGCATATGAGGACAGATGGGACATGTAGGGACAGATGGGATATATGGGGACAGAAGATACATGTGAAAAAAGGTGGGACATGTGGGGACAGTTGGGACATTAAAGACAGATGGGACATGTGGGGACAGATGGAACATGTGAGGAAATATAGGAAATATGGGGATAGGTGGGGCATATGAGGACAGATGGGACATGTGGGGACAGATGGGACATGTGAGGAAAGATGGGACATATGGAGACAAATGGGACATGTGAGGAAAGATGGGACATATGGGGACAGATGGAACACAAGAGAACAGATGGGACATATGTGACATATGGGGACAGATGAGACATGTGAGGAAAGGTGGGACATGTGGGGACATTAAAGACAGATGGGACATGTGGGGACAGATGGGACATGTGAGGAAAGATGGGCCATATGGAGACAAATAGGACATGTGAGGAAAGATGGGACATGTGGGGACAGATGGGACATGTGGGGACAAATGGGACATGTGAGGGCAGATGGGACATGTGGGGACAAATGGGACATGTGAGGAAAGATGGGACATATGGGGACAGATGGGACATGTGAGAAAAGATGGGACAGATGGGAACAGATGGTATATGAGGACAGATGGACATGTAGGGACAGATGGGACATATGGGGACATGTGAGGAAAGATGGGACACATGGGGACAGATGGAACACTAGAAAACAAATGGGAAATATGTGACATGGGGACAGAAGGGACATGTGAGACATGTAGGGACAGTTGGGACATTAAAGACAGATGGGACATATGGGACATGTGAGGACAGATTGGATATGTGGAGACAGTGTACTTTAAAATCTTTTTTATATATTTTCACAATAAAAGTCCTATCAGTCCTAATGAAACATCAGTTTGTGTCTGTTTGTTTGTGTCTGTTTGTTTGTGTTTGTTTGTTTGTGTTTGTGTCTGTTTGCAGCTTCATGTCAAAAATCTGCACTTTGGTTGAATAATAAGAAAAAATAAAGTAAATAATTATTTAAGTTAATGTAAAATAGACATAAATGTCCTCGGCTCTTATTCTTGAAATTTAGACATTTTCTTTCCTCCAGCTGGTCATGTTTGACATGTATGAAATGATTGACAGGCATCAATAAATGAAAGTTGACTTCATATTTATTTTATTGCTCTGAAGTTTTTGTGAGACGAGCTCTTCAGGTGGAGACAAAGAGTCAAACACAGGAAGTAGTTTTTTCCTCACAATCAGAATTTTATTGTTCCGTGACGTACAACAGAAATGATATAAATATAAATTTTGTTATAATTGTGTTCACTTGAAAAAGGGCAAGACGTCTGTTAAAGAATGATCGGCCCAGAGTTCAGAACCTGAACTCTGCAACACGTTCGTCTCATGCTTTTATTTTGTACTGAAGCCCCAAACAAACAAACAAAGTACGTGATCTTTATGTCAAAATAAACCAAATCATGTCAAAGTTTCTACAGCGCATCAAAGTTTAAAATCAGTTCTTTGACTTTTATTCCAAGAACACTTACTCTCCTGCTGCCCTTGGGTCAAAACCAGCCGAGGCCTCAGTTCTAAAACTCTCAAGGACAATTTTAAACTTTAATCTGTTTTAAAATGATAAAAACATGTGATCAGTAAAATTAACAGCCTTTATGGGTAAAGTTGTTCCAGTGAAATAACAAAAAAACGAGTCAAAATTTCATGCGATTGTGAGAAAATATAAATAAATAAATAAATAAATAAATAAATAAATAAATCCCTCTCAGTCTGAGCTAAAATGTCCCGACTTCACATTGTTGACAAATAAATATAAAAAGTCACAGTGCTCATGGAGGAATGATCCAGTCACGGTTCAGTTTGTCCGGATTATAATCCCATAAAGACGCCATCTTTTTTTACATTCCTTCAGGATGACGCCCACTTCCTGTTGGAGGACAGGCGCTTCATCGGAGCCGAAACACGTCGCTGACGTCGTTTCAGGAAGTGTTTAAATCTTCGCTCGGTGACAAATCGTCGACGTTCCGAGCTGCTCGTTCAGCATTTATAAAAACTGGAACATCTTTAAGGTCAGCTCGAGACAGGACGCTGCAACAAACGTTGCTCTAAAGTAGGAGCGGTACGATTATTTGGTCGGCTTGAAACGCGTTAGAAAAAGCTCCAACAAAAGTTCAACCCATCGTAACGAAGGCCTCGTAATTAAAAACAACTCAAACTGTTGTAGTAACCATGCCCGGCCTGTGGGGGCGCTGTGACGCCAAACTACACCAAAAACAGGAAACAAGGCATGATGCTCACCTGCTGGGTGAGAAACGCAAACACAACAACAGCTAAAGACGCTGCCGTCAGGTCAAAGGTCGGATTAGAGGCAGGGAGATACATCTTCGATTTTAAAAGATATAGATGTAGATAGATATAGATAGATATAGATAGATGTAGATATTTTCACTTGTTTAAAACAAAAAACAAACTTTAGGGCTCCTAAAACAGTTCCGTGCAAATCCAAGGCTGAAGCTAAACATAGTTAAACAAAACTTAAACAGATAGTCCTGACCTGTAAAAATGGCCTATCACGAGCAATAAATGTCTTACCTGTTATAGATAGCTTTCTAAAGATCAAATCGATGAGCTAATGGCTAGTCCAATTGAAGAGTACACAATTTTTCCTAAATGTCCCCATCAGTTTTAGATCACACAGTCATCTGCAAACACAACGAGCGGTACGCCGGCGTCCCCCGTCTCTGAGGGGTTTGAACAGTGAACGTTTGTAGTTTTGGACTGGAACTGAACAGAAAATGAAAATAAACCTAAAAGCTTTTGGTGCGAGATGTTCAAGTGTGGAGAAGAACAGAGGGAGAGTTTCATCTTTTGTCTGTTTGTCCGAGGCGGCGCAGAGTGACGGGACCTGGAGCCAGGGGGTGGCCAGTGGTGGCCTTGGCCCCCATAGATTAATATTCAGCCGTGTCAATCATTTGAGGAAATTATACTTTTAATATAAAAACTAGAAAGCAGTTTTCTCAAATATTGGGGTAGTCTGTTTTCATATATACATGAATATATATTTGGTGGTGGTGGCCATCTTGAATTTTGACGTGGCAGTACAATTTTCGAAAGCAACCTTCCTTACACCCAGCTGCAGCCACACACCAAAATGGACGTTGGTACCTCTCATTTTTCCAGTTATGTTCACAAGATGAGCCGATGGACAGAGGGTATTTCCACGTCCCCTCTTCTCTCCGCAACGGGGGACAAAAAGCAGCAGCCTCTAGCTGTAGCACTTCTGGTTTGGCTTTCATAATATTTTTTGGGGGGAATAACCACGTAAAGCAAAGATGATGGAAGATGTTAAGAGTTAAACGTCATCGTTTCCATGAATCACTAAGAAATGTCGGAGGTTGGTGTCGTTTTAAGATGGCGGCAGGTCTTACGCCTCACATCCTGTCAGGATTAACTTGTTTCTCCAAACAAGGTGCCATCTACAACAGGTAAGATACTGATTGTAATGTGAGGTGTTTAATTGGAAGAATGTCACTGTTCATGATCAATTCTGTTTAAAACCAGGAGCTGATGGTTTAATTGTCTGGATCCTCTGAAACGGGTCTTTTGAGGTTCATTTCGGCGTGAACGTCACCGGTTGGACGTTTAAACACTTCCTGAAGGACCGACGCAGTGGGTGTGTCAGACCTCTGAACCTGACAACCACGCAGTTTGACAAACAGCAAGAATCATGTAAACCTTTGAGTAAAGAACAACAACAGAAAAATGATGTGAGACCTTAAAGTGGTTCTGTTTCCACATGCTCTGGGGTCCGAACCACCGGCAGAGACGAGCTCTAAACGCTCCTCTTCTTCACGTCTCTGACCCGGTGGCGTCACGAACAGACCCCAGAAAAAACAGGAGCTTCTTCGATTATAAACAGCAGAATAATAAAAATACAAGCGGGGGGGGGGGGGGGGGGGCTTGGTTCATCTTTTCCTTTTGAGGCGTCTGAAACGGCGGATCAAGCGCCCCCCCGGCTCGTTGAAACGTTTCAAAATGACTTTAAACACTAACTCTATGTACAGCCAGAGGCGGGACAGCAAGCTAAAGGCTTCGGTTTGGGTCCGACTGCTGGTGTCGTCGTCATCGTTTACTTTACTGAGCTGCAGAGGCAGGGTCGGACAAACAACGGAGTCTTTCACCGCTTCCAACCGGCCCAACTTTACCAACACTTAATCTGGGTTCAGATTATAAATCATAAAGTGAAGCTAAAACAAACGTCTGAGTCCAAAGGTTGAACCGCCAATCATCAAAGGCCCATGCTCAATAATCCAGGTACTGCCAGTCATATTCTGTTACGGCGGTTTATGGATTCCTGACGACAGTCCATGTGGACGACAACAACTATCAGTTCCTGCAGAATAATTCTGTGGTTTAAAAACCGAAACACCAAAATCTACTGCAAAATACCAGCATGGAGCGTTTGACTACATGACAGGAGCCAGGGTTGTTTCGGCTGCTTTTAAAGATATCAAATACTTAAATCCAGCCTCCGTCACAAACAGACTTCTGCTCTTTGGCTCAGACTTTAAGTGTTTTTATTCTCTACGTTGCCAAATTTATCTCATCACGTGTCCATGAGCCGTGAGCCGGGCCTTCTCAACCAACATCAGCGTCTTCTTTCTGGAAGAATGGTCCAAAAGTCGTAAACGTGGTGGAAAGCCTTCCCAGAAGAGCTGAAGCAGTTCGAGCTGCAAGCGGAGGGTCGACATCAGCTTAAAGTCTGGATTCAGAGTGTGTGTGTGTGTGTGGGGGGGGCTCCGTTCACGTGAGCGACGGGAAACAAGCGAATACTTCTGGTAGTCTGCAGCAGAGTTGCACTCGGGTCCAAAACATTTGATCCAACCCGGCCCCAGCCCGTAGCCATCAGCTCCAAACCCCACCCAATTCAACAAATTAGCAGTAATTACAGGTGCAAACCCGAACACCCCCACCCCCCCCAAAATTTTAATTTTGACAGATTATACCACCAACTATTATTAACGGTTGGTGGACCCGCGCAGCTGAGTAAAGGGGGAGGAAGATGGAGCTGAGGAGCTCTCAAAGCGCATTAACTGCTTCTGCTCTGACATGTCGGATATTTTGTGATCTCGCCTGTTTGGGCCGCGAGCGTCCGCTGAGTTCAGCGGCTGAATGAACGTTCATCTGGGCTGATGGATCTCTGGCAGTAGTCCATCTGAAGCTTAACTGAACTTAGTACCTCTTTCAACCGGCTGGTCAGCGCGCGGTCAAATGACCACGTGTGGCAGGTGCTGTATGGCAAGCCATGTTGGCATATAATTGGATCATCGGCCGCGCACGTCCGCTGACGCAATCAAAAGCCCGACACTGACCCGCACATGAAGCACATTATTATGGCTCGGTCCAGTCCGAATCCTGGTGGAGCGGAACTGGTTTCGGGATAGAAATGACAGCTCTAGTCTGCAGCAGACGTTACGGTTTGATGCACCAACAAGAATCAGCTCAACAGAAACATTATTTAACGTTTTAGTTTTGTCTTCAGTGTTTCAAAGAACTCGTGACGAAGCGTGGGACTTCCTCACAGAATCCGATTCTGATGTTTTATTAGCGTCAGCTAAGTTTAAAGTGGAACGATCATTTCCGGTGGTTCACCTGCGGACGATGACCGACGTTAGTTAAGTCTCTGCCTCGTAGCTCCTGCTGTTGAACAGTCGGGTTGTGACGAAGAACTCCGAAGCCCTCCTCTTCCTCACGCTGTCTGGAAGCCCTAAGGTTCAAATGGGACCCGTCACCTTTAGCTTCCTGTCTCGTTTCCTCTTTTATTTGTTTCTGGACAGAATTGGGATGGGGATTTTTTTGCCGGTCAGAAAGTGAAGAACTCAAAGTTCGGCTCTTCGTCGTTAGCGAGACCCTTGACCTCCGTCGCCCCAGGGTCGCATGGTGTCGCAGCGTTGGCTTCAGGAAGGCTGAGGAGAGGAAGAAAGACACTTATCAATGAGGAGGAGGGAGTTCAGGAGGACACTCGGGGTTGGGAGACGGACAGAACACAAAATAACGGTGAGTGCCTCGTGGGTCGAACGCTTCGGCGCCAGGGGAGAGGTGGTGGCAGTTTGAGAGAACCGGGAGAGGATGACAGACAAATGGGATGAGGTAGGAATGTGAGGCTGACACCCCCACCCCCAAATGATATGACAGAGGAAGACTGAAACACTGCGGCATTGTGGGAAACGAACGGCTCAGCGTGGTGGCTTCAGGGCCAAATAAAAAATCCAATTTAAATCCCATGTGCCCCGTTTTGTCTCGTTCCTGCATTTCACTTCTCAATCAATAAGAAAAGGAACGAAAGCTCAAATTAAACATGCTCAGAGCTTCTACACTTTTCATTTTAAAACTCTGTACTCTACGAACTAACATCGGTTGTTGTTTTTTTAGAGCAGTTTTCAACGTCAAAACGCCTACATTTATTGAGAAGGTCTCGGTGCAGCAGCTGAATCATGGAGGTCCAGACATCTCTCTCCACAGCTTCTTCCAGCTCTTCTGGGAGGACGCCAAGGTGTTCCCATGGCAACACAGAGACAGTCTCTCCAGCGTGTCCTGGGTCTTCCCCAGGGTCTCCTCCCAGTCGGACATGCCAGAAGCACCTCCCTAGGGAGGCGCCCAGGGAGCATCCTTACCAGATGAACCACCTCAACTGGCTCTTCTCGATGTGGAGGAGCAGCGGTTCTACTCTGAGTCTCTCCTGATAACTGAACTTCTCACCCTGTCTCTAAGGGAGAGTCCAGCTCTGCAGAGGAAACTCATTTCAACCTCCTGTATCCACAATCTCATTCTTTCAGTCTCTACCAAAGTTCATGACCAGAGGTGAGGGGAGGAACGTAGACCGACCAGTAAACAGAGAGCTTTGTCTTACAGCTCAGCTCCCTCTTCACCACAACGGACCGGCACAAAGTCCACAATACTACAGATGCTTCACCAATCTGTCTGTCAATCTCATGCTCCATTCTTCTCTCACTCATGAACAAAACCCCGAGATACTCGAACTCCTCCACTTGAGGCAGAACCTCACCCTCGACCTGAGAAGAACAATCCACTCTATTCTGACTGAGGACCATGGCCTCAGATTTGGAGGTGCTGATTCACACTCGACTGTGAACCGCTCCAGTGAGAGCTGAAGATCACGGCACAATGACACCAACAGGACCACATCATCTGCAAAGAGCAGAGATGGAATCCTGAGGCCATGAACTGGACTCCCTCCTCCCTCTGGCTGCACCGAGAAATTCTGTTCATAAAAGTTATGAACAGAATCTGTGACAACGAGCAGCCCTGGTGGAGTCCAACTCACACCCTGAAGAGTCCGACTTACTACCGACAATGAGAACCAAACTCTCACTCCACTTGTTTAGAGACTGAACAGTCCGTAACAACAGGACCCCAATCCCAGACTCACGGAGCACCCCCCACAGTGTACCCAGAAGAACACTGTTGAATGTGTAGTGAACTTAATCTGGTGTCACGACTAAGCCTAAGGTCAAAACCCTTGACCTTAAGAACCTTGTGGGACAGAAACTGTCATTTCATTGAGTTGAATCCAGAAATACAGGTTCACCCATCCTGAGACTCTCTTTCTTGATAATCAAGTGAAAGAACACTCTCTTTTTTATTATCATTACTATTTTACAGATGTTGATAATCAAAGTGTCTTAGTTCAAACCATTTTAGATGTTGCAGTGAACTAATCAATTTTATTAACTGTGTAATGATTTTTAATTCTCATGCAAGTGTGCGTTCCAGGGTCAGGAGTCGAAGCAGACATGCGTTGGAACGAACTGTCATGTTTTTAGAATCCTCTCAGACATAAATATAGGGGTTTTGGCACCTGTTTCTGAAACTCGCCAAAACAAAACTCTCTCTGTCTGTGAGAACATTTCTGATCTGTTCCATAACAATTCTTGCTGCATTCTAACCTTTTACGTCACAAAACACACCCCGTCTGGTCGGTTCTGGCCAATGGGAATACTCCCAGATGAACAGGGGAAAGGAGCTCTTTAAAATGTCGGTACTTCCTGGTCTACTCAGTTCTGTTGGATACACAGTTCAACCAGTTCTGTGAGGGTTCTGTGAGGGTTCTACTCGGTTCGGTTGAGGTCAGTTCTGTTCAGTTCTGTGCGGAGAAGCCCAGTTCTGGGAGCCGGGAAGATCCTGACATGACAACAGAGCTCTTCCGAGTTTCATGGGATTATAACATCTTCACTGAGGTGAGCTGTGAGGGACAGTCTCGCCATTACTCCGGACGAGTAACAGCATCCTACGGAGACGCTGAAGGGTGCGTTAAACGGAATCTCGCCTGAGACATCTCCAGGTAAAAGAGTCGATTTCACCACCTAAGTGTACTGTAAGGAGAAGCTGAAGAAAGCCCGGAGAGTGCCGTTCTGTTCACACTCCCTCAAACCCCATCTTTTACTCTTCTTTAAACTTCTTTCCCATCTTTAAACTCCTCTCTCAAGTAGAAATTCTTCCAGATATTTAGAAATGTCTGTGTAAAGTGCTCATCCACATCCGTGTGGGTAAAAGATCATAATTGTACAGTTTTCATAAATGTCTGTGGTGAAGCAACGGAAAAATCATGGCCGTATGATTTTTCCTGATTGATTGCTTTTGTTGTTATTTTCATAATTTGCCAAATTAATGTAAATGTTTGATGTTAAACTTTGATTCTGTAAATAAATGACCGCATTCATTTTGATGGGTCAAACATAAATGACGTCTCACGTTTGCATTTCATTAAATTCAATGCACGTTTTATTCAGTTCAGAAAAATGAGGAATCCGTGTTAATTGATGAATATATCTGAGCATCTGTTCATCTACAAATGTCTTCTCCAAGTCCACAAAACACATGTAGACTGGATGGACAAAATCCCATGACCCCTCGAGGACCCTAGTGAGGGTAAAGAGCTGATCCAGTGTTCCATAGCCAGGATGGAACCCACATTGTTCCTCCTGGACCTGAGGTTCAATCAACGATTGGACTCTCTTCTCTAGTACCCCTGAATAGACCTTACAGGGAGGCTGAAGACAGTGATGCCCCTGTAACTGGAGCACCCCCCCCCCCCACACACACACACATATTTGATTTATCATGTAGCCTTCATACAGTTCTGAAATATGGATACACGCTCAACGTAAACAAAGACCGACTTTCAGAAGCTTTAATTCTCACAAACAGCAGGAGCGACATCATCGTTCGGTTCAGCGTGAAGAAGTCGTTTCTCACGTACGAAACAACGACGTCCTTCAACACGACGACCTCAAACGCCCGCCGATAAACAACTGTAGAAAACTGTAGTCAAAGACCCCGTGTGACCTTTGACCTTGATCTGTGGCCTTGGCCACTGAGCTGGGGTGTTTGAAGTTGAATGAAGATATCTTGAGCGGATAAGAACCCTGCGATTAACGAGCAGGAGGCTCGTTAGTGCCATGCAGGAAAACACAAAAACGTGAGCTGAAAATAAATACGGGAGATAACCGGTGGTGGTGGGGTGGGGGGGTGGGGGGGACATGAAGTCATCATTTCTCACCTCCTGCAGTCTTGATGCAGCATAGGAGGATCCTGAGGAGGAGCATGAGGAGGAGCATGAGGAGGAGGCGTGGGATGAGATGAGGGATGAGGAGGACTGAACAGTGGAGAGGCTTTCTTAAGTCGAGGGAGGGAGCTGCGGAGGGGGGAGTGAGGAGGCACAGAATGGCCTCCCGCTCCTTCCTCCTCCACCTCCTGGCTCATGGTGGGGGGGCTGACGAACCGGAGAGCCGGGCGGCTCGGGAAGCGCCAATCTGATTGGCTGCCTGCTTTGGACTACAGACACACAGAGAGGCGAGACAAGAGTGAAGAACCAACCAGACTGACCTGCCCCGCCCTGACAGGCCCCGCCCACCCTGACAGGCCCCGCCCCACTGCGGTTCTGTCAGTCCAACCGACAGACAGGCTCGCTCCTCTGAGCTGGATGCTGCTCTTTTCAGTTTAAACAATAAAAGCCCATTTATAAAGGATTTATTACGAACACATTTTAAAGAGTTTGTAAAAACTTTATTAATCATCAACAGTTTATAGAAGCGACACTCCGACGTGGCTGAAGGATCTGAACAGTGAGTGGTTGTAAGATGAGTGATTTTTTCTGGACTGAATTAAACAGAGAATGAAGTAAACCTAAATGTCTGTAATGAAACGTATTCAAGTGGGAGGAGCTACGCAGTTTATCTGTTTTTCCTGTCCGAGGCGGCGCAGAGTGAGGGATTCAGGAGAGAGGAGGGATTTTATCCACCGCCAGGGGCGGAGTCAGGGAGGCCTTAGATTAATCTTCAGCCACCATAGTCATTTGAGAAAGCTATTCTTTTAAGCAAAAATAAAAACTAGAACACGTAGCTGTCACAAATGATCGGCGTGGTTGGTTTAAATATTTACGGTGGTGGCCATCTTGGGTTTTGACGCTGCAACCCAGTTTTCGAAAGGAGCCTTTTTTTAAGATGACGAGATGAAGCGACGCCAAAATGGAAGTCAGCACGCCACTTGTTTTTAAAGTTTTCCAGCTCACAACACAGTTGGAGGGCGGAGGGTATTTCCAACTCCACCTCTTTGCTCTGCAACAGGGGGGACTGAAACGTTGAAGCAGGGTCACCGTGATCTTACCAAATAAAGTCTGCTTCAAAATAAAACACCTGTTTACAACAATAACCCGTTTATGAAGCATCACTACACAAGAGCTCCTTGTCGTCATTCGGGTCAGAACTGACCTGTCATTTCTCTAAAGTGAGCTTGTTCAAGGCGTTATCTGCAACAGGTTAGATATTAGCTGCTCACAACCATCCACAGAACTCCTGCGAAAAGCTCGGGGCCTTTCAGTTGAGCTCACCCCGCCACTGAAAACTGCGTTCTTCAAAAAAATAAACTTCAGCTGCTTCCAACCAACAACGAGTGTTTGATCACGCAGCTGTCGACTGAAAACGATTTCAAGCAAAACTTCTGATAAATGATTTCTCCTCAAACCAGTGGAGTCGTGTGGAGCGTCAGAACAAACCACAGTTACTTTTCAAATAAAGTCCGTGCAGTAGTGGAGGAGCGGGGGCTCTTTGTGATCTGATGAGCGAGGAGGAGCTGTTGTGACTCGAAGCGGCGTTGTTGAGCTGCAGCGACACAAAGGATGACGCGCAGCTGATATCAGTCGAGCGCGTCGTGCTCCGAAGGAGGCTCAGACATGTAAACAACAACAAACAAACAAAAACAAACGTCTGTGTTCCAAACAGTCGAGGCAGACGGATGAAGTGCCCGTTGGTGAGGCTGTGGATGGTGAGTGTTTGGACTGGAGCCGAGCAGAGACTGCAGGTAAACCTAAGTGTTTTTACTGTAACACAGCTACTCTGTGGAGACGAGCAGAGCTCGTCTGAGGAGGCGCAGAGCGACGGATCCTGGAGAGAGGAGGGGGCACATCGATCCAGCAACCAGGGGTGCAGTCAGGGGGGTGGCAGATGGGGGCCTTGGACCCCCATAGATTAATCTTTGACCACCCCAATCATTTCCTAGTATTGCTTATTAAGCATTCACACCATTGTGATCCTGTTTAGATTTATTATTCCATATTCTAGTTATCTTAAACTATTCTGTACGTTTCTCAGCGTCTTTCTCGTCCCCCAGTTTTCATCTATTTCAACAAGTCATGAATCAAAACGTTCGGCTCTTTCAGGACAATCCTGCTCTGACTTAGAATTGGTGCAACTTTAGCTGTTTGAAATATTTAGCCTTTTCTGCCATTTTGTTCTCATAGAAAATGAATTGAGCTCATTTTACATGTTTCAGATCTTTAGATGTGTTTACAACCTTTTACTGCTCCTTTCACGTTTTGTTCGGCTTCAGCTTCTTTCAGCTTCCGTCTGCAAATTTAAACTTTTTTCAGCTAATTTCAGCTGTTTTGTGCTCCTTTCAGTTTATTTCTGCAAACTAGAACATTTTTGTGCTTCTTCTAACTTATTTCTGCTAATTTCAGCTTGTTATGCTCCTTTCAGCTTATTTTTGCAAGTTTCAGCTTTTTTTGCAATTTCAGCTACTATTTAGTGTAGCTGTTATTATGGTAATTTTAGCTTTTTTGGCTAATGCCACAATTTTTGCACTCATTTAAATCCTTTTCTGCTTAATTCAGCACAAATGTGCTCTCTCCACTTCTTTATACTAATTTAAGCTACTTTCTGCCCTTTTAGCTACTTTTCAGCTAGTTTTTTTTTGTTAATTTCCACATTTTTGTGCTCATTTCTGCTTCTTTCAGCCTAAATGAGCAAACGTTCTTTCAGCTTTCTTCTGCCAATTTAAGCATGTTCTACCTTTTCAGCTACCTTTTTAGCATTTTTAGCTAACTTCAGCTGTTTTTAGATAAATTAAAGTTTTTCATAGTAATTTCTGCTACTTTCAGCCTAATTAACTTATTTCTACTCATTTCAGCTTGTTTTGCTCCTTTCAGCTTATTTCTGCTAGTTTCAACAGTTTCTGCCATTTCAGCTTATATTTAGCTGTTTTATGTTACTTTTAGCTTTCTCAGCTAATTCCATATCATTTAGCTAATTTCAGCTCTTTCCACATCCTTCTGGTAGTTTAAGCTTCTTTCTACCTTTTCAGCTACTTTTCAGCATTTGTTTTAGCCAATTTCATACTTTCTGTGCTCATTTCAGCTTATTTAAATTCAATTCAGCAAATATGTGTTCTTTCTGCATTCTTCTGCTAATTTAGGCTTGTTCTTCCTTTCCAGCTAAAATTCAGCATGCTTTTTTTTTTTTTTAGCTAATTTCAGCTGTTTTTAAGCAATAAGCATTCACACTGCATTTTCTCAGGAAATGCAGTTTCTCTAGTTTTCATTTAGTTTTGACTTTATAAAAACTAGAAAGCAAAGTTTCCTCAAATGATCGGGGTGCCTGGTTTATATACACATGTGGTGGTGGCCATCTTGAATTCTGACCTTGGCTCCGTGACAGAAACAGCCGTCAGTGAGCACCTGGTCAGTTTTAAGATTTTCAGCCTGGTCTGTTTCTTCTCTGAGGATCTGGAGTTTCCAACCTGCAAGTTGCTCTTTAAGGACCAGCAGAGGATCCAATGTCCAAAAACTCTTTGAGTCTTTCCAAACTTCTGTGGGTGTTACGGTGAAGGTAGGAGACCACTCACCTTTATGAGAGGGTTGATGACCCCAACGTTGGCACTAGACGTGAAGACCTTGTTGAAGCCCGTCTCTCTGTTGACCAGCTCCAGCTGGTAGAACTTCTTGTCGTCCTGAAACGTCACGATGTTTAACCATCGTCGCCGTGTTCACACCGGCCGCACGTGGAACCGTCTACTCACCACCAGCTTCTTGACCAGAGCTTCTCTTTCTGTCACCATCTCTCTGAGCTCCGAGATGAGGTGCAGGTCTTCTGGACGGCTCTCCCTGTTCCTCAGCTTCTCCTCCGTTCCCTCCAGTCTGGACCCGACGCCGGAGAGAAAACAGACGCAAAAGAAACGTTGATGCCGAAGAACATTCTTTAGTTTTGAAAAAAAAAAAAAAAAACGAGAGTAAAAACTAAACCTTCATTGCCAAAACGTCCTTACATGATTTGTAGAGCAGAGATCTTGTCTCGGAGGACCTCCTGGGCCTTGTTGAAGTCGGCCAGCATGATCTGCGTCTCTCTGTGGTGGACGATTTTCAGCTCCTCCACATCTCTGTCGTGTCTCTTTCCGAGGTCTTGCTCATGGGCTCTGCAGCAAACACAAAGCTAGCAGCTAATGTCCTTTACTCTTCACAGCGAGCACCTGTGTGCCATGATGGGACCTCATGTAGGCCTGTCACGATAACACATTTTACTGGGAGATTAATTGTCTCAGAAATTATTGCGATAAACGATAATATTGTTTGAAATTTGACAATAATGAAATTTTATTAATTAGTAATTATTGTAAAATTTAAGAAGAAATGCTGGTTAACTTTGGAATGTAGTACATTTTTTTGACCACTGGATGGCAGTATAAGACAGTTTGAACTGAAGGATGGATAGTGAGGGAGTGAGCAGCGTGTCTCTTTAAGAAAAATGGGAGGGAGGCCCCTTGACGTGACATGGGCTGTCTCTCTTCAGTTTTCAAAATGGCGGATTCTCGGTGTGGTTTGAGCTCTTAAACATTTTTCATACAAAGATTTTAATATAAAATCAGTAAACAAGTTCTCAGCTTCTTTTTGCAGAGAAAAACAACTTTTTACACGAAGTGTGAATTTTTGGAGCTTCGACAAGACGGAGGTTTTTTTCCCCGAGATCGGCCTGTTAGCTTAGCTCGTAGCTTAGCTTCTCAGCTTAGCTGTTTTTAACGATCCAAAAACCTGATTTAGATGGTTAAAACAGATTTTAAAGAGAAAGGGAGGGGTGTGAATTATTCCGTCTGTAGATGGAGTAAGAAGGTACTGGTCTGCTGATGGTCCAGAATTACTGAAGACACTTTAATAACAGAGTTCTCGGTCCTGCTTGATGGACGGACGACCACTGAAGGTCTGGAACTCTTTAAACGACTGCGTTTATAAAGACCATCTGCTGCTCGTTACCGTAACCGTCCCTCCACTTATCTTACTCATGAAGATCATTCAGCTGGTAACATCCATGCTATTCATTTAGATGGTCACACCCTCTGAAGGTCCACCTTATCGAGGTGTGGGAGTTTGGGTGCCTGAACGATCCGAGGAGCTCTGCTGGAAGGGTTTTCCAAGGCAGGCTGGTCCTAGGTGACCGTCCAGACAAAGAGCGATGCAGAACCCTTGTGTGGACAGAAGACAACAAAGGTTTGATGTCCCTTGCCCTGATGTGGGATACCAAGGCCCCACCATGTAGCCAGGCCTGGGGGAGGGCTCATCAACGAACACCTGCTGACCAGGCCTCCACCCATGCAGCCTGACTGGGATAATTTTAAACAATCTTCATGGGTAACCTTCCTGTGGGTCCACCACTTGCAGGAGGGACCATTTGTGTTGGGTACATGACCTTGGTGCTCTGACCTTGGCTTACCAAAGAAAATGTAACCTCGCTGATGGGGGAGGAGTCTGAGCTTGTGTGTCTTGTTGGGCTCACCTCAATGCACAACATGGGCATGAGATCTTATTCCACTGTAGAATTGCCCAAGGTGAGAGGCACAGAGTTGGTGTGGGTCTACTTGTAGCCCCCCAACTTGGTGCCTGTGTGTTGGAGTTTTCAACGGTAGTTGAGAGGGTGGCTTCGCTGCACCTTCAGGTGGGGATGGGCTCTGGCTGTTGTTTGTGCCTGCACGCCTTCTTGGAGTCCTTGGTGGGGGTGCTGGAAGGTGCTCCAGCTGGGGACTCCTTTATTCTGCTGGGGGACTTCAGTGCCCATGTGGGGAAGGCCAGTGTGACCTGGAGGGGCGTGACTGGGAGGAACGGCCTCTGGTCTGAACCTGAGCGGTGTTGTTGGACTTCTGTGCTAGTCAAAGTTTGTCCATCACTAACACCATGTTCCAACATCAGGGTGTTCATAAGTGCACTTGGCACCAGGTGGACCTAGGTTGAGCCGTTTGTTTTGGACACTCGGTGAATACAGGAGCTGAGCTGTCAGCTGATAGTTTGGTTTGAAGAGACCAGAACAAGACTTTGTTAAAAAGAAACACCAGGTGGCTGTTGCTGTATTCAGAACATCCTGTTCTGAGACGTAAACCCTTCCCTGACTGTGGGTTTAATTATTCGCTGTTCAGAAATGAGTGTGATGTTGCCTGCTAACTGGGTCAGTTAGTACTGGGTCCCAGTTTAGACTTATTTACATCATTATATAAGGCAGGGGGTCCAGTCCTGGTCCTGTTGGGCTAACACCTGCATGTTTCACCTGATTCAGTGGTTGACGTGTTCAGCAGAAGCCCGATAGTCACCCATTGATTCATACCAGGTGTGTTGGAGCAGAGGAACCTCTAAAACCTGCAGGACAGTGTCCCTCCAGGACCAGGACTGGACCCCACCCCCCGATAGAGCACAGCGTCTCCTGGTGAACTCAGCAGTCCTGAGTTTCTACCTTATCTGATGGTTGGCCTCACTCCGGACCCGCAGCACCTCCTTGCCCTTCAGCTCCAGCTCTCGGGTCAGAGTGTCGATGGTCTCGTTCAGAGAGTGGATCTCGTGGTCCAGGTCGGTGATGCGGTTGCTACGGGAACACAGCTCTCCTTGAAGCTCGGACAGCCGGACGAGGAGCTCCTGCTCCTGCTTGCGGCTGTGCTCCATGGCCTTCTCCAGCTCCCTTTTCGCCATGTTGTTCTCCTTGATGTGGATCTGCTTCACGTGCTCAATGGCGGTGGCGTGGAGGTGGTTCAGTTCCGCTCGGAGAGAAGCTGCCGGGTGGAGAAAAGATGGGTCAACGACCGAACAGGTGAAAAACCACGAGAGACTCCGTCCTTTTGTCACCCACCCAGCTTTGCTTTGCCCTCATCCTCAAGCTCGTATCGAAGCGTCTGCAACTCCTGATCCGACTGCTGTCGGAGGATTTCTAACGTCCTCCTGTGGGCCTCCTTCAGAGCGTGTACCTCCTCCCTCTGCTCCTGCTTCAGACGCTCCTCCAGGGCCTTAGGGCCAGAGGAGGAGAGGAAAGGACAGAAAGAGGGGAGGAATGAAATGTGATGATACGTAACAAGCACCTAAAATGACGTGCGGACGAAACGATTCGTGGCGTTTCAACTTGATTTTTTATGTCACATTTGACAGGTGTGGGCGTCGTACTCTGATCTGGTGCTGCCGGGCCTCCTCCATGGTGCTGAGGGCACAGCAGTGAGCCTCCTGCAGGCGATGCTCCCTCCGCTGATGTTCCCTCTGCATCTCTGCAGAACAGAACCGTTGGCATCATCAGAGATACGACCAGCAGAGCCCATGAGCGCGAACGAACTGCGGCTTACCTTTGAGCTGCTGGCTCAGCAGCTCCCTCTCCTGGCTGAACTGAGACTGCAGCTGCTGGAGCGCCGCCTGCGACTGATTGAGCTGCAGCTCCAGGGACTGTTTGAGCAGAGAGATCTGAGCAGGAACAGGAGCACATGGCACATCGAACGTTATACACCTCGGACAAGCAAAGACCTCGTCTGAACTTTGACCTTGATTTGTGACCTTCACGTTGAAGCCAGTGAACATGCATACATGCACAAAGACTCATCAAATTATCTTGAGTAGATCAGAACTCGTAGACGGGAGAGGAGAACGTTTACGGACAGAGACCATACCAGAATACATCCATTCTTTGACTCCATCCATCCATCCAAATATCTGTCCATCCATCAATCCATCCAACCAATTGTCAGTCAGTCAGTCCATCCATTTATCCAACATCCATCCAATCATCCATTCACATTCATCCATCCAACATCCATCCATCCATTTATCCAACATCCATCCATCAAATCACCCATCCATTCATCCATCCATCATCCAACCATCTATCCATCCATCAATCCATTCTTCCATTCATCCATCATCTTCCTTTTATTCTGGACCCGAGGGGCAGCATCTTGAACAGGGAGGTCCAGACTTCTCTCTCCACAGCCTCTTCCTGCTCTTCTGGGAGGACTCCAAGGTGTTCCCAGGACAACAGAGAAACGTAGTCTCTCCAGTGTGTCCTGGGTCCTCCTGGGGTCTCCTCCCAGTCGGACATGTCCAAAGCACCTCCCTAGGGAGGCGCCATGGGAGCACTCTTACTAGATGCCTGAACCACCTCTGGCTCCTCTGGATGTGGAGGAGCAGTGGTTCTACTCTGAGTCTCTCCTGACAACTGAACTTATCACCAGTGGCGCAAAAAGCGGGTATGCAGCGTATGCAACGCATAGGGGCGCTGCACTGCAGGGGGCGTCAAAACCCTGTGTAGAAAAAATGTTTTTCTAGTAGGCATTTTCTAAATGATCAATAACAGGGGAACAGCACTGATTAGGCGCCCCTGTGCTCCTTCACCTCCCCTCTGCTCCTTCACCTCCCCTCTGCTGCTTCACCTCCCCTCTGCTCCTTCACCTCCCCTCCTATCGCTCTCCCTTCCCACACAGGTGGCTGTGAACACGCCCCTAAGAGAACGCACTCGGCGCGTTTTTTTTTTTTTTAATCTTGAACTACCGCTCGTTGTGCACTTGACAACAAGATGGAGCGGCAGAAAAAAAAGCTATCCGGGGCGCAAAACAGAAAAAGGAAAAGGGAGAAGGATAAAGATGTTGGCGGGATGAAAAAAAGCCTTTCAATGTGGTTGAAAGATAGTAGGTAAGTACTGTCAGTGTATTAGCAGGACAGGAGGGTTTAAATATTCAGGTTAGCTAAAGCTAGCCTAATACACTGCGGTTGGCTGTTAAATGTTGCCTCCCCTATTGATGTGATTTGTTTAGTATTTTCTGTATTTTTATGAATATTTGATACATGCGCCTCGCCTGTCACACACACATATCCACACACTAAGTGTAAGAATGACCAAAATAAAACTCATGAAATATTAACACAGGAAAGCTAAACTGTTGTGGCGGCAGTTCCCAGCTATGATCCAACGCTTAGCCCTCAGTGCTGCAATTTATTCACTCATATGTACATTTATTATTATTGATTCTTTAATTAAAGATGAGTTGTACAAGTTTATGTGTGTATCAGATAAATTAGTCCTCAGTGTCACTATAGCTCAAAAAGGTTGGTGACCCATGTTTCCAACCTTTTTGGCAGAGGGACACTTGAGTTTAAATGTCTTATTCAGTATCACTACAGTGGTGTGTGTTGTGATGTATCTGGTGAGTCAGATCAGATGAAATGTCCAGTCAGTAACTGTTATCCAACAAGGAGATCATTTAAATTCAAGTTTCATTTCTATTGTGGTTTGACTGCTGTATTTTTAAACCTACTTGACACAAAATTAATGTGATTCGCTGTGAGGATGGAGAGAAGGAAGAGAAGATGACAGAGGAAGAATCAGGACAGACTGGGGAAGGCAACAGGTTGGTCTAATGCAGGTGGAAGTGAGGGAACAGTTACTTAATCCCAAGCAATAACGTGTAAACATTATTTTTAAAAACTGTATTAAGATCTGTCATTTTTACAACTAATATATAATGCTTTTTTGACCTTATGACTTAGTGCAGAATGCCACAGACAAAAGGTGAAGGAGACAGACACGAGGTCAGTGATAGAGGAGACAAGTGATGACATCAGGTAGGAATAATTACATTAGGGAGGCAACAAAAACCTATATACCATGATGGTTTTAATTTCTGATGACCATATTTCATTGTCTTCTTTTTTGGGAAAATTAGTTCAGGCAGACATGGTGAGTTAATCATCACAAAGCAGAGAGGACCAGATGATGAAGAGGGAGAGGAGCAGAGAGGACCAGATGATGAAGAGAGAGAGGAGCAGAGAGGTCCAGATGATGAAGAGGGAGAGGAGCAGAGAGGTCCAGATGATGAAGAGGGAGAGGAGCAGAGAGGTCCAGATGATGATGTAGAGGGAGAGAAGTACAGAGCTGCAGAGGAGAGGGCTGAGGCAAGGCTTTATTCAGAAGATCCATCCGAATGGCCTTTACCACACAAAATGGGGGACACATTTAGGCAGTACATGGTTGAAAATGGCCCACAGAAAGTTTCTGATGGTCCATATCCAAGATCAGAGAAGAATAAGAGGTGTTTTTCCAAAGCGTACTGTTTTTGTATACTGTCTAATGGAGAGAAAGTTGAACGAGATTGGTTACTGTATTCCAAAAATACCAGCAGAGTCTATTGTTTTGCGTGTAAGCTTTTTGGTGAAGCTAAAGTTTCTGATACATGCCTTGTGGCAGGGTACAGTAACTGGCGATGTCTTTCAAAAACACTGAAGCACCATGAAACCAGTAGTTCTCACATAAATGCTTATCTGATGTGGAAAGAAATGATATCTCGCTTACGCCTAGGTAAGACTATTGATAGTGAACTGCAGAGAACCATGGCAGCTGAAAAAGCATACTGGAGAAGTGTGTTGACTCGAGTTATTGACTGCATACTCTTCCTTGCAGAGAGAAACTTGCCACTAAGGGGGAAAAATTCTCAGTTAGGAAATCCTAAAAATGGAAATTTTCTGGGAATCCTTGAGCTCATTGCACGATATGATGTCACACTGGCAGAACATCTTAGAAAGGCAGCCTCCAAACAAACCACTGGATATCTGACATGGTGCACTCAGAATGAATTTTTAGATTCAATATCAGAGTGTGTTTTGGGTAAAATATCTGCCCAGATCAAAGCCTCTAAGTACTTTGCAGTGGAACTGGACTGCACACCTGATATTTCAAAGCAAGAGCAGGCCTCAGTCATTATTCGATATATTGATACTGATGAGAAGAAAAAAGTCACTATTGCAGAGTCTTTTGTGGGGTTCACTGCTGTGAAGGACACAACTGGGAAAGGCCTCACAGATACACTAACAGGGGTTCTGGAGAGTCTGGGGTTGGATTTGGCTAATTGTAGAGGGCAAAGTTATGACAATGGCTCTAATATGAGGGGAATAAACAAGGGTGTTCAAGCTTTAATACAACAGAGATGTCCAGAGGCTTTATTCATCCCCTGCTGCAGCCACAGCCTGAACCTTTTGTTATGTGATGCAGCCTCATCTAGCAGAGTGTCTCACTTTTTTTGGCACTGTTCAAAGATTGTACACAATCTTTTCGTCTTCTGTGAAGAGGTGGGACATTCTCACAGAGTTTGTCGACATCACACTGAAGCCTCTGAGTGACACCCGGTGGGAGGCAAAGCTAGACTCTGTCAAAGCTATACGTTTCCAGATGGGGGGAATTTTAGATGCACTACAAAAGCTTGGAGAAGTGGCAGGAGACAGCAAGATTGTCTCAGAGGCAAAATCACTATCTGATGAGATTGTCAGTATGGAGTTCCTTGTGTGCCTCATAATTTGGTATGCCTTATTATGTGAGATCAACTTTGCAAGCAAGGCACTACAAGCAGCAGATGTGTCAATGGACACAGCCATTAGGCTAATCGAGTCTCTGAAAGAGTTTTTGCTCAAATATAGAGAAGAGGGCTTTCAGAAGTCACTTGACATTGCAAGCAAAATAGCCATCGAAATGGATGCTTCTCCTAAGTTCAAAGAGAAACGACTTAGGAAGCAAAAGAATTTCCCAGATGACAATTCATGCACTGGTCATCATGAAAAGGAACCCACAAGGCACTTCAGGTGCATGGTTTTCAATGTTATTGTTGACACACTCCTCCAAGAGCTGTCTGAGAGGTTTTCCAATTTTCAACTTGTGTCTGAGAAATTTAAATTCATCACTAAAATGGAGCACATGACAAAAGCTGAGCTGGAGGAATCAGTGACCACTTGTGATGTTTCAAGAGATATCATTCAAGAAATATACCCAGCAAGCCGTCTACTGAAGGGTTACAAGGCTCTAGAAAAGTTAAATTTCCTAATTCAAGAGGACCTTGATTTGGTATTTCCAAATTTGACAGTAGCCCTTAGAGTATTTTTAACCATGCCTCTGACAGTTGCATCTGCAGAGAGATCATTTAGCAAGCTGAAGCTCATCAAAACATACCTTCGTTCAAATATGAGCAATGATCGCTTGTCCCAGTTAGCAGTGATCTCTATTGAAAACAGTGTGGCACGGTCTATTTCATTTGATGTTATACTTGACAAATGGGCAAATGCAAAGTCACGGAATGTAACAGTTTAAATGTCATAAATGTTAAAACTCTGACATGGACTCCAGGCTGTTAAGATGTCATATTTCCGCTACATAAAATGTTGAGCACTGACTGAGTACCACTACTGTTATATATTTGTACTTTATAAAACTTCTTATTTGTTTATGATTGAAATGATCACCTGATATAATATGTAACATTAAAAAAATCTGTAATATTACTACTGTATTTTCTAAGTGCATGACTAAGCTGTATGAGGCGGCAAGTAAAAAGGAGCGGGTGGGGGGGGG